TTCTAGAATCTCTACTTCATGACTAGTGATAGCATAAGGATAAGAGTTAAGGTCTTTATGTAAAAAGAGAGTATTGTGCAAATGGTTTTCAGTGATATAACAACTTTCTTCACTCACAAGTCCTTTAGAGGAGATATTTTCCTCCTTACTCTTCCCTAAGATACATGCCTTTTTTATTTCTTTTTCCCTTGTTTTTCTCAATTTTATTTTTGCTAAAAAAATTTCTTCCTTTTGTTTAAGAATGTGAATTTCTTCTTCTAAATTTGCAAGTCATGCTTTTCTTTCAAGTTTTTCTTTTTCTCTTGTTAACACTTTTTGCTTTGTCCAAAGTGTTAGTGATTTAAACTCTTGAGTAGGGTGTAAAAAACTTTTTGGAGAGCTTGAGTCATTACCACTTGAGGAATGTTTTCTCATGATTAAACAAAAAGAATTTTATATGCTATGCAAAAGAAACAAAATACTTTTTGGTCTTTTCTAGGAAAAAAAATAACACTTGGAAGTCTAAGTGTACAAGTTGCACTATCAAGGGAGATGAGCTACTAAGAGCCACTTAATAACCCTTTTCAAGTGGAAATCACTAAACTCCCTTGTGGTATTTTCAATTCCCACAAAAATTTTCACAAAGATTTTTATGTTGTATGCTTTTCACAATTATTTTTGAAGCTATCTAAACGTGAACAAGTAAATCTACACAATACTAGTTGAATCAAGACAGCAAAGTAAACAAATTAAAGATCAAACAACTTAAAGGAATCAAGTTTAAGCAACTAGTCGTTTTGCCCTACGTGGAAGCTTGAAACATATGAAATTTCCAAGCCACTTCCACTAGTACTACACGTGAGTGAGCTACCAAGGGTTAGATATACCTGACCATCTTCTTAATACTCCCTCCAAGCTTTACAAATTGATTAAAAATACAAGAGAAATTGCAAAAATTTAAACTACACTAGGAAACAAATTGTGGCGGCTTTAGTGACCAATTAGTGACGGATTTGCTGTCCAATTTTTCTAACACTTGTTTAAGTGTTTCAATTCGCCACTAACCCTTGATTTGAGTTGCTCCTGGACCCTGCACAATGAACAAAACAAAATGATGAATGTAGGCTGCTCACAAGGTTAAAGAAGAGATCACTCTTGTGAAGGTAGTTTAGGAAAGTTTTGGTCACTAAATTAGGTCAAATTTGAAAGTCAATTGTGTCCAAATCTTTCCTACTTTTTGTTGAGTCAATGTTTGATCCTTAAGCAAGGATTTGAGGCCACTTCCAGCACAGAATTTTTAAGCAAAGAAAACAAGACAAGCAACAAAAGCACAATTTATAAAGCTTATACCAAAAATTGAAGAGTAAGGTGTTTATGACAAGACTCAAAGATA